CGGTCACCATAATTTCTCATAGCTGATAACATAATTTTAGCATGTATTATTGCCTAGGATTTTGCATTGTTCAATGATGCTCCTTGATGTTTTTAAATCTGATGCGACTTAGCAGATAATGTGAATTCACTCATGTATTAACTCTAAGTAGTTTTTCATTTCTACGGGTTAAATAACGTTTACATCATAAACAAATGGAAAGTATGAAGTACGGTGGAAGTGACAAAGTACACATATCCACATTTTATTATTTTCCACTATATCAGTAGAGAAAGTTTCTAGAGCAGACATGTCAAACTCATGATGTCACGTGACGTTGCGCAATGTATCGGGACGGTTTTGCCATTGCCGGCAATGGGGTGAGCCAGATGATGCATCCGGCCCGTAGGCCGGAAGTTTGACACCCCTGTTCTAGAGAGAATTCATTTTCTTCTTTCGATTAACCTTTAGATTTCTATATTTCTCCATATTAGGCAAGGCAACTGTTGCTTTTTTAGATCAGAGGCCCCCATCCTTTTGAGCACTAGGGACTGGTTCCGTGGAGAGATGTTTTTCTGCGGACTGGAGGGAGGGGCGTGCCTGCATCCCGCGGTGGGGTTTTTGCCTGTTTGTGCGGACCGGTTTCTGGTATGCTGTGGCTTGTTGCTGGTCCACGGACCAGGGGTTGGAGACCCGTTTTAGATTATCCGAAACCATTTTTCCTCTCTATCATCATCCATTTTGTTAAAAAATAATCTAACAGTTTGTACTTCAAATTAGATATCAAATGTTTTTGTTCCTTCATTAAGATACTAATGTTATTATCCAAAAATACATAATCTTACCAATTACAGGAGCCAGAGAACAGTTAAATTAGTACAATCAGAAACAGCGTACTCGTTTTATTGAAGTGCTTTGGCTTTCTGTACTAATTTGCACCATTTATGCCACATGTTTTCTTATCACTAATTGCAAAATTATGTAGGAATCACAAAATATTTGACTTTCTATGCAACCGATAAGTTACAATGCCAGCTCTTCTCCGCTAATAGAATAATGAGAGGAAATGAGCTAAAAGTCAAAGATAATTACCTCACTGGTAGATCACTGTTTCGAAACACAAAAGCAAAACATGTCTGATCAAGGGGAAAAAAGGACGATAATTCAGTTATAGTACTATAACTGAAATACTCAAATCTAACAGTGTTATAGTCACAGCTAGTCAAGATATGTCACCACCACATTTCAATAGTGTCTGCAAACCTGGATAACCTCAAAAAAATATGATATTTTTGAGTTGGGAGAGGTATAGAAAAGTCCAACTCTGTGTCAACAAGCATGGGAGTTTTATCGGTGAGCAAGTTGGGACATGATAGATACACAGACTTGTAGAAATGATAGGAGATATCAAAACTTGGAGTCCTCTAATGAAGATAAGGAGGAGGAGATTGAAGATAGAGGAAAGTAAATATTATGGAATCTGCTACCAGGAGATACCGTGTTGGTCCTCAGAGTGAACAGCTTGAAAAAGGAGATTAAACAAGTATACGGGAGATAAGATCTCAAGCGCAGGTTGTGTGTTTAGTATCAGAAGCAAAAGGCCTCTTGGATCAGCTGTTGAGGAACACAAGTAGAACACTTTTGTGACCCTTCCTGCTTGTGAGCCAGATAGCTGATTTGTTGCTATGGCAACAAGGTACTTATTTTGATTAGATCCAGCTGTTATGTTTAGCAACTTCTTAGGAAATTAAACAACAAGCCATGAAGGTGATACTCATAAACAAACCCGATCAATTTCAACGGAGCTTATTTCCTAGAAGATGTTTATAGTTTTGTCACTTTAAATCATTTCACTCTTGGTGCTAACCCTGAGATCCTCTATCTTTCCTTTAAAAAGATGGACACAAGTAAAAAAAAAAAAAATGTTGCTCGCCATTGCCACAAGGTAGACCAGGGGTGTCAAACTGCCAGCCTGTGGGCAGATGCGTCATGGTGAAACCGCGCCCACCCCATTGCCAGCAATGGAAAAAAAAGTCACGATATGTCGCAACACGTTACATGATGTTGACAGCTGGACACCCCTGAGATAGACAGTCACAATTAGGATCAACCAATCGTCTGTAATGGACGGATGTGAGATTTTTCTTTTAAAATGCCTCAAGTATCCAGACAATGAAACGCAATAGAAAAGTCAGTGTCAAGTTTTTGAAATTGCCTTTGTTTTCCTAAACTATCAGAGCTAGATCAGATTATTTTAGCAAAAGACTTATAAAGGATGAGTTTTCTCAATTACTGAAAGCAGAGGGGGGAAAAAAAAAACATCAACTACTATGGCAAACTATGTTTGAATGTCAATGCCCAGGACTAGAACGTACTGTACTTGCATATTACAGTTACAGAATTAAATAGAAAATATTTTGAATTGTCCCAGATGTCAACAAAGAATCAGTGAAGTTAAAAATTACATCCCGTGAACCATTTCTTTCTATGATGCTCCCTAACTTAAAAGAAGAATAAGCTAAAACTGTTGCAGCTACTATAATCCTGAGAACAAAAGATAACAGTCAAACACGGTGAGATATAGTTTGCAGAAGATAGGTTTGAGGCTCCCTTTATGTTTTTTTGAAATGTATATTTGTGTCTGTTAGTCATTACTTTATATTCCAGAATGATAGGTAATCTGATACCTGCAATAGCTGCTAGCAATTAATTAATTCAATCTATAATTATCTTCTTCAAACTGACTCTAAACTGCAAAACCTCAGGGCCTGTTCATTTTGTGTTTGTCTGCAACTTTTTATTTTATTTTATTTTTGTTTCCCTTTTGCTTAATGAAAAAATGCTGCAGAACTAAAAAGCTTCCCAACTCTTTGGTGTCGTTACTGGGCCCAATAAAAATATTCCCTACATTCTCCTCTTTGTTAACTACATGGGGAAATAAGAAAGAAAAGAGCTGCAATCATATATAAATAGGATGCTCACCAATAGACACAATTCTAGTTGTTTAACACCTGGCAGTCAGAAATGGGTCTAAGAATGGAGGTTCTATTTAATGCTCAAGGTTTTTTTTAAAGAATATATAATTCGCACATATGAATCTTTGTGTAGAGTAGAGTAGAGTAGAGTAGGGTAGAGTAGAGTAGAATAGAGAATAGAATAGAATAGAATAGAATAGAATAGAATAGAATAATGGAATGAAGAATAGAATAGAATAGAATAAGAACAGAACAGAACAGAACAGAATAGAATAGAATAATGGAATGAAGAATAGAATAGAATAGAATAGGGAATAGAATAGGGAATAGAATAGAATAGAATAGAATAGGGAATAGAATAGAATAGGGAATATAATAGAATAGAATAGAATAGAATAGAATAGAATAGAATAAGCAATAGAATAGGGAATAGAATAGAATAGAATAGAATAGAATAGAATAGAATAGAATAGAATAGGGAATAGAATAGAATAGGGAATAGAATAGAATAGAATAGAATAGAATAGAATAGAATAGAATAGAATAGAATAAGCAATAGAATAAGCAATAGAATAGGGAATAGAATAGAATAGGGAATAGAATAGAATAGGGAATAGAATAGAATAGAATAGAATAGAATAGAATAGAATAGAATAGAATAGAATAGAATAGAATAGAATAGAATAAGCAATAGAATAGGGAATAGAATAGAATAGGGAATAGAATAGAATAGGGAATAGAATAGAATAGGGAATAGAATAGAATAGGGAATAGAATAGAATAGAATAGAATAGAATAGAATAGAATAGAATAGAATAGAATAGAATAGAATAGAATAGAATAGAATATGGGCCAAGTATGATTAGACAAACAAGGAACTTGTCTTCAGTGCAGAAGCTCTCAGTTAACATGCAAAGCAACAGAGTAATATTAAATATAATAATGATTTCAATAAGTAGGGGTAGTAGAGACCATTTGAAAGATAATGATACTACAGCCACCATTTTTTCTGTTTTTAACTTACCACTTATCATCCTTCCTAGACAGAGATATAATATAAAAACATATATGCCTGTACACACTGCTGCACATTAATACAATCACATGCATATCAAAACATCAAGATTGCAGGACATAAGTACGTTTAAGCAACTTAACTTCCATTAAGGTATCCATCACCACTTAAGCGATCTTTTTCGTGTTCAGTCACCTACACCTCAAATCTCTTCAGTGTACACCAAAACATAAATGGGGAAAAAAAAACTAACCACACAAAAAATCAATAAAACAGGAACTACTGAACCCATGCTGGCTGGAGAATGCTGGGAGTTGAAGTCCACAAGTCTTAAAGTTGCCAAGTTTGGACACCCCTGTGCTAGAGTCTCCCAGATATATCTGTTAGGGAGACAGTTTTAGAGTTTAGTCCGGCAAGATTCTGTCTATTGTATGTAAACCGATAAAGAACTGAGTTTGGCTAGATTGTTTCATTGTGCGTAGTCTGACAGTCATTTTATATTCACTGTTTTCTCAGTTGGAGAAATCCATTTGGTGTTTTTCATATGTCTGTTTGGCATATGTCTGACAGTACCTAAACAATTTGGTACTGTCAGCAAATCTGGCCATTTCATGTCTTATACCCCAAAATAGTGCATTTTTAATGAAGCAGGGATTTCTTACCTTATTTCAGAACTGACAAAGGACACAGATGTTCTAAGCTTCATCTGAAATTTCCACAAGTAGCCAAATGAGTAGCTACTGTCCAGCACACACTCAGGTACCCTTGTGAAGAAATGACTGAAACATCATGATTTTGATTAGGGCAAGGAATGAATCAAGGCAAACCTCAATTCATATATTCGGTAGTCTATCTAAAATAATGAGAGAGAAAAAGTAGATATTCCTTTGTAACATAAACAAAAATAACTTTCTAATCAAGCAGGCTGTCCTTTCATTCAAAAGTTATTCTATGTTGTATAACTTAACATTATAAGCAGAACATAATTCACATATTTGACTAGAAAACAAACAATAACTTGCAAAGGATATGATCATTTTTTCAACGAATTTATCATAAGGATCTTCTATTTTGGGGAATTTCTTGATGTCATTTTCCAAACGCTGTATCTGGTGTCCCATGGAATCAAGATTGCTTTTAAGACTTTGAGCTGAAACTGAGAGAAAATATGGTAATTCAGAAACCAGATCAGGACTTACAAGGGGGAAAAAAGCTATGTCAGAAGTAATATTCGTGAAGGCAGTGAAGATAATTCCATTAATATGTGCCCTCATTTTTCTGAATTACGGCTCATAAAAGTTCTACTATTCATAAAATAAAGGGAAATATATAATATAATATATGAAATCATCATGCTTAATGTGAGAATGTCACTATTTTATTCCTCCATTAGTTCAAACTCATCTAATTCTATTCAAATTTATTGATAGAAATGCTAATATTTCATTCCTTTGAATCTAATTTGTAGATTAAACAGAAACCCAGTTTCAAAGAGATTCCATCTTAGCAATATATATAGTTGGTGATTTAAAGAAAATAGGCAGAATACATCTTTTTCTCTCTTTCTTTCTAGTCATGAAATGACTAGATCTGTAGAAACCTGTAAGTTGAAACTTTTTACTGATGCTTCAAACAACTTTAATTTAATGGGATGATGCAAATTATTGATGTTCCAAATAGTGCTAAGCAAAGGCACAGGAAAAGTGTAACACATCACCTTTGTAATTAATTTTTGTAATTAATTGCCAAGCAGCAGTTACATTGTTCAGATTAATATTAAAAGTTAATCAATATTATTTTGTTCACCGTGGAGTATCTGATCTATTCTCTTAAATTATTCTAGGATAGTTTTATTAGCTCTACAGAGTAATATTATGAAGTGAAGAGAACAGAAAGATGTTCAAAGGGATGGGAGGAGTTCTCTCTCTCTCTCTCTCTCTCTGTGTGTGTGTGTGTGTCTGTGTCTGTGTGTCTGTGTGTGAATGTTAAAATATATACCCTATTTTTGAAATGAGCTTAAGGCATTTTGTAAATAGCAAGATGGTAGCAGTAATTGCTGAAACAAAGCAAAACAAATAAACAAATCTGTGGTTTAGACAAAAGCATACCCCATCTGCATTACAGATGAAAGAAGCTGAGAGCTTGGAAAGAAAAATTAGTGCCCCTCCCCATCATCATTTCTGTGTAGAACTGAACAGGGAAAACAAAGTGATTGCTTACTTTGTGTGTTATAAATTTCAGCATGTGTACATTTGTATCCAAGTAACAAAAGTGCTATTACAACAAACACACTATTTCTTCTTCTTCTAGCCTCCTGATGATTAATTCCAGGTAAAAAAATCATGGCTGTAAAAGTGGAGATTATATATATTTGTGGGCAAATGAAATCTGTGGCTGAGTCTTCCATAGCCAATATTAACAGAAGAGAAGTCAGCAGAGAGAAAAAATATGAATGAATGAATGAATGAATGTCACTCCTATGAATCCGGTGAGCAAAATAGGATTCTGAAGATGGGCGTCCACAAAACTGGAGATTCTGAAAGCTACAAGTGGTCCAAGCAAAGGCAAAGCCATTGTGACATACCATAATATGCCTCCACTAACCACGGCTCTTTAAGATTATAGTCCATGCTCATTGGAAATGCCACTTTGTGAAGAACCTCTGGCGAAGCTTAAGCTTAAGTTGCAACTCTGAGTTGAGAATATGACAATTGTGAGAATGGATTTGACCAACCTTCCTAATGTGCTAGAAGCCATTAGAAAGATTGACAGAGACATTAATTATTCTTGCATTCAACCAGCATATTAAAACTCTGGGGCCTGCAACAGATTTTCGGGCAGTAAATTTAGGACAAATAAAAGCGAATGCTTTTTCTTCAAGCACGCAATGTAATTCAAAAAAACTATGGTAGCAAATTGTTTGAGGGACTATTTGGCGTGTCTTAAAGGGCAGAAAAGCAGATCAAACACAAAAGGCTAAATCCAGTACATGAGCAGTCACACCGGTAGCTAGAAATAGGAGATCGTTTTTCAAATTCCAGGATTATATTTGTGCTCGCCCAAAAGCAATCCAGATTCATTAATACATTTCCAAACACACAAACACAAATTGCTTGAATGACCATCCATGGTGGATGATGATGAAAGACAGGGTAAAGATTTCTGTCGCAGAGTAATTTTCTTTTCATCACGTCACAAAAGCACAAATAATTCAAAACCAGCTTTTAAACAGATTATTACTTAAGGAGCAATTCATCCTGGCGAGTGTCTGGAATGCGGGAAAGGTCATAAGACTCATTTTGTTGCCGAGACAAGTAATTTGCTAGACTCTTCAGCATTTGGGCTGTAAAAATTGCCTACAGAGATAAAGAGGCAAAAGGAAGAACATTTTCTTCCCACAGATTGTCTTAGCAATTTCTACGATGTGTAAGTTCTACGATGCTGGATACTTTCCAGAACAATGTTGAGGTTACGGATAATTCTCAACATACGACCACACTTGAGCCTGTATTGCTAAGCAAGGCAGTTCTTAAGTGACTCGTGCCTCGTTTGATGACTTCTTTTTGCCACATAAGTGAATTTTTACGTAAGTGAATTATGGGGTGATTAAGCAAATCTGGTCAATAGCTCTGTTTCAAATGTGCAAAAAATGTGAAGGGAAAAAAGCACAACGCGAAACAAAACACAAGCAAATTCTGAAGATTTGTCTTGTGTGCAGTTATTATGAACCACTGTTTTCTGTAGTAAAACTGAGACACACAGAATAGATAACAATTTGGAATAGATGACATTCTAATTACTCAGGAATAGTGTTATAGAATTGAGCCCTGTGAATATGCTTGTATGTGTTTTTGTGTCTCTATGTGTGTGTATGTGTATATGTAAATGCACATAAGTCCTATTGCTTTGCTCTGGATTTTAATAACGATTTGGAAGGCAATCAAAAATGCTAAATTGTTCAAGTTCATTTATAACGCATGTAATGATTTAATAAATCGGTTGGGTGTGTGAATTATAGACTGGAATTGCATCTAAAGCACTACATCGTGAAGATACCCAGAGACACCCCCCCCCAAAAAAAGTACATTTTTAAAAAAAAAGAACCTGCAGATGAAAATAAAATAAAATAATATGGAATCAAATAAAATAAATAACTTGCAACCGGTTCTGATTCCAAAACCACTGCTCAAATGCTGAGAACATTAAATAGCAGTTGAAGAATAGATACTAGGGAGCTGGCTACTAAAAAAAAAAAAACTATAAATAAATAAAGCTACATAATTTAATTGGAATTTTAATCCAGAAGGACTTTAAATCCCCCATCCAGATTCCAAGATGAATACTTTACAGGGCTGACAGTTCTGTGTATTTCACACTCTTTCTTTAGCTAAAGAACTTGTCTTCAGGACAGCAGAACAGTTGCTAGGATACTACAGGGAAGTTTTACTAACCGCACTGTTCTTATCCAATTCAAAATTCTGCAAATGATCTATAATATATAAAAGGGAGCTCTAACAAAGAAAAAAATTGATACAGGCAGTCCTTGAGTTACAACAGTTCATTTAGTGACCGTTACATCACCACTGAAACTTAGGACCATTTTTCACACTTATGACCGTTGCAGCATCACATGATCAAAATTCAAGCGCTTGTGCAACTGACTCGCATTTATGATGGTTGCAGGGATCCCCTTTTGTGACTTTCTGATGAGCAAAGTCAATGGGGAAGCCAGATTCACTTAACAACCATGTTATTAGCTTAACTGCAGTGATTCACTTAACAACTATGGCAAGAAGGGTCAAAAAGTGGGGCAAAGTTTACTTAACAAACGTTTCACTGAGCAACAGAAATTTGGGGCTCAGTTGTGGTCATAAATCAAGGGAAAAAATCTTCCCTTTCTCCACCCCAAAATAAAATGAAGAGAGATGAAGGATGATTGACGATGATGATGATGGACAGATGGACTATTAATGATGGGACTACTAAAGGTCCTTTTGTACAGAAGATATAAAAACGGTTGAAGCTACGAATTACGTTGTGAAAAGATCAAACAGCATCAAAACAGGAACTTCATATGGAAATATACCTTAGTCAGTGTGACTCTGTAAGAAAAACATTCCCAGTATTTTCATAACTTCTTTTTCACAAATGTTTCCTAAACACCCCAATGCTCTGTTCAAAACAGATAAGAGGAGAGGAAGAATAGATTTACTTTCCTTTCAATATATGTACTAATAAAAAGCACAAGTGCGGGTAAAAAAAGCAGAGTTTGCTTTGCAAACTTTAAAAAAAAGTAAACCCACATTTGTACCATATGCTAATGGATCCGTCTTTGAAAAGGAGGATTCAAGTTTCAGATCTGTGAAATATCAACAAAGAGACTTAGGGGACAAATCACAACGATGATTTATCCATCAAAGTATAATCAGGTTATATAGCTTTTAAGCTACTGTTTTAATTCCAGTGAGAGAAATGTGAAAATACCGTAGGAGATATTATTTACCCTAACATTCTTTTATGGCCTTTGTTTGCCTTCTGTATTATTATAATCTATACCAGAGGTATCCAACTTTGGCTTTCTGGCAGTTGATGTCCACAGGTCTTAAAACTGCCAAAATTGGACACCTCTGATCTATACATTCTATGTTGGTTCTGGATGATTCATCAGAACAGTGTTCCTAAACACAGTGGCTCTATCATTAAAATGATAAAGAAGAATACCACAACAGGCAACCATTCCTGTTTTATGGTATGTATATGATTAAAAAAAAAAACAATAATAAGGAAATCCCTGAAGTGGTACGAAAAGTAAAATAAAGAACTCATATTTAAAGCCATCATACGTTAATCTTGTCCTCGTCTTCTGAAAATTTTATCTTGCAGAAAAAGCTTACTTAGAGAAAACAGTTTCTAGCTGCTCTGTTCACTTACCTGGGCAGGAAAGCTAGAACAAATTTTAATACAAAAGTATTTCACAACTAGTCTTGCCCAGGAAGGCGTCAGGCCTCGTCAGAATTTAACGAGACATTTAATCTCAGAAATAAATTAACTGACATTGTAAGATCATGCTTAATGAGGCAAGAATGCAAAAAAGGGGCTATGCTATAGTGGAAGTATAACCTATGAAAAATAAGCGTTAAGACTCATCAATTGTTT